ATATTTACAGACAAGTCAGCTGAGGCTCCTCGTCCTGCTCCTCAAAAGAGCGCAACAGGTAAGCGAGTCTGACAGCAAACGTATACAGGTGACAACTGATCAGACAAGACAGGTGACCTCTTGACGTTGATAAAAAGCCATAAATCAGTGGAGAGAGTGGAGCGGAGTTGTTGGGTTGAGTTCACCAAATCTCCACGGGACAAAAAAACAACAACACCACCACCTGGGGATCAGGGAAGTTCTCGAGCTCGGATTGTGAGGAATTTATGCACAAGTGCACATAAGGGCAGATCGGCGAACAAGGACAAATTCATGAACTCACATGCGTGCACAAACACCGACACACACACACACTCACACACACACACACACACGCTGGAGGTCCGCTGTGCCTCCCAGAACTCCCATCTGTTGAACCAGCAGTCCAGGTTGGTCTTAATGAGAAATAATGAGCCTTCACTAAATAACAACAGATTGGATGGATTTCACCTCCACTTCAGATTTTTTATTAGAATGGCATGAATCATAGTTTATTCTCAAAGTTACAAAATCCATTTGCTTCAAATCAAAACACATTCTGGCATTTGAGTTCCTTTTTTTTTTTCTCTTTTTCTTAGAGTACAAATGAAATTTTAAGATGACTTTTTTTTTTTCTGTTTTAGCATTTTACAGCTCATAAGTAATGAAAAGGGCAATCAGGCAATAAGTTACCAGAGAGTCTAGAAAAATGCTCCTAAGGAATTTGTTTAAGTGCGATTTATACTCTGACAGCGTAGAGAGAAATTTCCCACCGTAAAAAGTCGAAGCACAATCCCGTGTATCACACCGAGCCGTCGGTAACGAGCGCATACTTGGATTAAAAGAAACTCCTCCCTTCAAATTTGACATTTCTCTCTAATAAATCAGAGCGAGAATGGAATCGCTGGGTCCGCCGACAGCTGGCATAGCTGTCAGCGAAAAACGCTAACAACATGGTGGTTGTACAAAGAGCACCAGGCATCAAGTTAGGGAATCCAACTGTCCCTGCACGATTTCGAGCTGAAAGAAAAAGGGAGAAAAATGTTGAGTGTTGGGGGGGAAGAGGAAAAAAAATAAAAGTCCACAAAAGAAGCACAGATACTCAAAAAGCTGCAGAAAAGTCAGAAAGGCAGACAGAGAGAGGAGGGGTAACAAGGAGACAGGTAGGCAGGTAGATTTTTGTCAGGGCAACGTCTGCCAATCAGGACAAAACGCACTGAAACACAAAGATGCAGCGTGCAGCGTACGCAAAGGTGACATGAAAGTGGCGCTCACACACAACAAACTGACCTTGTTGTAGAACTCAAGCAGCTCCTGGTGGTTAAACTCCACAAAGACATTTTCTTGAACCTGCAGAGAGACGAAAGAGCAAGAAAGAGAAAGAGAGAGAGAGGAAAGGTCAGAGATGTCAGAGCGATGGGAACAAACAATCCAATACGGAGACCGAGTTCAGAAATGTACGAAAACAACATAAGCGATAAGAGCACATGCGTAAAAAGTCATGACTGAGACTTCTGGCTTCTTGTGCCTTCTGTAAAAAACCCTTCATTAATTATTACTACTCTCTGGCCAGTATGTACTATCCATCAGAGGAGAGTGTTTAAAAATACACCGAAGACGTAGAGAGGAGACCAGCAAACATTCTGTTGGCGGTATGACTTAAAATACGAACGAAAATGCTGCACGTGTACAAATGCAACGCTCATGTGGACACTACAGTGAAGCACATCAACTATTTTCCTGCTTTATATGTAAAAAAAGAAACTCCTCTTTGTGTTCTCGTCCACCTTATACAACATATTCAATCAGAATAGAAAGAAAAGCGCCGCACTTAGCAAGCATGTAGAGCGCAGTGTTTGCATTGAATTTCCAACTAAACGAGCCAAAACTAAACTAAAACTTCTGCCATTTCAATTTGCAAATATGTCGATAAGGAGCAAAAACAAGGTCTTGTTCGCTTTGTTCTCCCTTTTTTTTCCTTCCTTAAAGCTTTAAAAATATTGGCTGTTATAAAATCAGCAATGAAAACCAGTGTAATGATGGAACACGTAAGTTAAGCAGAGGGTTTTTTTCTTTCTTTTGCAGCATAATGGATGATGTAGTTTGTGTTTTATGATGTTGGAATACGTCGGTTAGATTTACGACCGCTGCTCGGATATTTCTGCGTTTGTTACATCTGTGTTGGGTTTCATGACGAATGCTGTGTTAATTCTGGAATGACAATTTATTACCGTAATACTCTAAAGTGCTTATTTTTAGGTTCACCCCGGAGCCTTTTCTTTTTTCCTCTCTCTTTCTGAAAAGGCTGCAGGCTTTTGGGGGGGAAAAGTGCCAAGAGGGGGGAACCAAATAAAAACCATAAGAAACCAAGGGCAACCAGCACCGGACTGTTATCATCATCATTATCATCATCAGCAGCAGCAGCCCATCAGAAACAAAGACTGAACAATAATCCACCCCCGTGATCAGGTGTAATGGCGAGACACTTTATCTACAACCATCATTGAGAAAATAGCTATAATATGTGGAATGGTTTCTGGGTAGCGCGGAATGAGAAGGGCAGTCTTGTAGCCACCCAAAGTGCACTCAGCGCTGTTAAACTGAACGCCGATAATGGCACCCAACTCCTCGGGCCGGCGAAGGGGGAAGAAAAAGAAAGGCCGAATGGAAGACAGACACAAACAAACAAACAGATAAAAGAAAGAAACCTTGTCTGGTCGTACGCTCCCCATCTACCATCTCCGGCTCTCCTCCCAGCGGTTTGGTGCTTTAGAGACTAAATGGGGCTCCGGGGGGGTTTGAAGCGAACTGGCTGGCTGGTTGGCTGGATGGGTGGGTGGAGGAAGGCCATGTGTCACGGCGAATTAACGACAGAGATATTAATTAGAAGCTACGTTACAAGTCCAGAACAGAGGGCCGTTATCTCTGGTCTCCAACTCCCCCAGCAGCTCCAGGAAAATGTAGGACAGCCTTGGATTTAGCGGAGGGAGCGCCGCAAGGACGGCCCAACAGGTAACAAAACAACTTGTTAAAGCGCCGCCACGGAGCGAGATACAATGAAAAGACGACGCACATCAAAGCAGCGCCACAAAGGTGACGAATAATTCTCAGAGGAAACGAGGTCCGGAAATGATTCGATTTGAAATAAAGAAGTGCGCGTACGGCGAAGGCGGCTGAGCGACGAACACCCTGGGCTTCCAGCAGCGCTAATCTGAGCGTCGGTTCACGCCAATCTTCTTCTATTGATCCTCGCTGCGGAAAACACTGTTATAATGAGGAAACCAGCGCTGCATAATAATTGGTTTGGGTTAATAGTCTTTAATGTGCTCGGGTCACAGCAACACCGGCAGCCTTGATGGAAAAACAGAAATAAACACTCATCAGACACCTGAGCTGTGTCTATTATTGTCTGACAGAGGTAAGACGGGGGGCAGCTTGTGTGTGTGAGAAATATGACGTGGATCAAAACTAAGCTACAAGAAAGTTAAGACAACAAACCAGACTGTAACGCTTTCTGCTTGTTACGCGAGGACTCGGGATGAAAGTGTGTTCATGCCTGTTTGTGCTTATGCGAGATTGACAGTGTTTTCTGTCGAGATATTCAAGGTACTGCTGGGTTGTGTGTGTGTGTGTGTGTGTGTGTGTGTTTGGCCCATCACATTGTTCCTCAGGGTTGAGAATTTACCAGGCAGTAACCCAACAAGGCTCTGACAGATCTAGGCTAACACTAATGGGGATAGGATGCATCATCCTCATCATCGCAGCCCTATACAACCACCACACACACACACACACACACACACACACATATACATACACTTCTTATCTGTCTGTGTGCCAAAACACTGTGTGTGTGTGTCAGGATACAGAAAACAGGATTAACCCATGAAGATAATCATAAATTCACTTCCATCTCGGTGTGCCATATGCGCCGCATGTTGGACCGTATCGCTACGATATAGGCTGCACGCTGAGGGAGATCAAACACGAGAGAGAATAAACTAACAAAGGAATAATTGAGAATGAATTAATAAAGGAAAAACAAACTCATAAAAGAAATCAAACTGAAGTTCTCCTCACTTATCCTTCAACTTTCGCCGCTGGACTAAATATTCCGTCGCAGCTCTCGGCGCACGCCTAATGGCTTCTGACAATTTTTACTTGATGAGACAAAGTCTGGAAGGGATAAAGACGCTCTTTGGGGATTACAGCGGAGCTCTTTGTGAGGATACCACCGTGATAACTCTGTAGTGTCTGGACACATAAATGACTGTTATGGCAAACTGTATATCATTTTCACATCTTTGGCCCTCCGTTCCTATCATTAATAATAGCGCAACTCATCGAGTTCATCTGGTTTCCTTGTAAAGCTCTGAGGATTATCACGACTTAGATGACTGAGAGTTTACAAAAACATCGAGCCAGTTGTAGCAATTTGTGATACGGCGGAGGAGAAAACACACGATCAGGTTTTACATCAAGAACAAAACTATGACCAAAACTGGCCGCCGATACATAAAAGTGCAAAGACCGACTTCCTGCTTCAGCTGAAACGTCTGCTCGCTGCAGCTGTGTCGTGAAGGATTATGAATGACATTCTGGGTGTGCTTTCTTTGGGATTTACTGTTCAAACAGCGGCACGACTGACAACTGAATCCAGCAGCGCCAACTTGATTCACCGCTCTGGCCCACATTGAAATTTCGAAACAATTACTGGCATGGACTGTTGAACGCGGTCCACAGATGATGAAGCCTCCCGTCTCTAGGAATTCCCTAAACTTTTCCTCCACCACCACCACTGTGGGGTTGACTTTTTTTTTTTATTTTAATTTTGTTTGTTTGTTTGGTGAAATGTTTGAGCAGCTATTAGATGGATTGCCACGGATACTGGCACGGATATGAGGCTGTACCCTGAGGATGAATCCCAGTAACTGCAGTGGTCCCCTGTCTTTTTTATCTGGAGCAGCAAGCACATCAACATTTTCAATTAAGCTGTGAAATATCTCAAAAACGTCCAAGTAGATTGAAATGAATTTTAATTTTGCCTTTTTCTCTAGTGCCACCAGGAGGTTCGTGATTCAGAATGAAACGTCGTGACAACTGTTAAAAGGATTTCCAGGCAGACGTTCATGGTGTGGTGAACTTTGTTGGTTGCCTGGCTTTCCATCTGGTGCCATTTTTTCCAGCGCTTCAGGTTGTCTGTCTAACAGGTCTGTTTTCGTTTCACAACCTGACAGAATCACTAATGTGACTGCAGGCTCTGCCTTGTATCTGGGCAGCCTATCTGAAGTCTTCGCTGCTCCGGAGTTTTGCCCTCTTGGACTTTGTGATGTTAAAATGTGTCCAGACATCTAGCAGTGAACACACTGAAAAGGGAATAGAAGTGGTGGCCAAAACAGTGGAAACAAAACCCAGACATTAGCAAAAAAAAAAATGAACTAGACCTTGCTTTAAATCTGAGGTAGGCAGTCATTTCTTTAGCATCACTGGGCAACAAAATCAATAACAACCTTTTGAAATATAATAATTTATGTGGTCTGAGAAGAAACTAGACTTCGGCAGCTAATCTTTCTTAGAAAGTCCAGCCTGTGATGGGAGGCTCTGGCCAATCACAGGTCTTAACAGAGAGGGGACGCTCCTGTTGACCTTTCAAAGCACACTAGGGGTGTTAATGACTGGTCATTAATCGATTCATTGCTGTTGAAACTTTTACAGATTAAAAACATATTTACTGTAAAAGATGAAAAGCATGCATGTTGGAAAATGTACTGTGGACTAGCTGTAGTACCAGGTTGTACCGCTCGCTGTTTACTGAGATTAAAGTTTAACACTGTAGTGACCCAGCGAGGTGGATGCTTGGACGACAGGCAGTTCCATGTTAGCGAGCAGAGAGCATTGTGGGAAGCTGTCTATCAGCGAGCCACCATGTCAAAGACTTCTGTGGTGGTCAACGGCTTCCTGCCTGAGCTCTCGTGTTCACGAGGAGTTGAAATCTACCAGGATAGCATTCCTATAGGCAAGTGGCTAAAGCAGGTAAATTGATTTTGAATGTCATCTACAGTCGTGACTCGATAATAAATGTAAAATCTTCTTTTATGTCGGATATCAAGGCTGTCAGATTGTCAAGGAGGGCTTGAGGCTGGAAGGCTCATTAGTTGTTAATTATTGGTCATAGTTGTTATAATAACTAGTAGGGCTGGTCCCAATAGCATTGTCTGCTCTCTGGATGTTCAGGCCCAATTAATGATGAATATCCAAATATTCGGTGCGGTCAGGGGACACTTCCACTCCGGGGCAGCGCTCCGACGGGGTGGAAGTGTCCGGAACCCACAGTCAGTACTTGGCTGCTGATGCTAGTTTAGTTAGCGCTCACACTTCTGTTTCCTCCATCGGTGGCGGCGGGGGAGTGGCAGATACGCTCCACCGTTACCATCCATGTTTACTTCTGTAAACACTGAGCACGCTCGCTGCGTGTGACGTCGTCGTGTCCTCTTCTGCGCATGCGGGACTCTTCTGGGTCGTATGAAGTTCACACAGCAGATCACATACAAGTCGTGTTTAATTGGAAATGTGAACAAACTCACAAAGAAATCCTCATTGAGCATCAAGTCCTGCAGTGTGAACGTAGCCAATCTGTGGGATTGTTCAGTCAGATAATACGCCGTTATCCTGATTGGTGACATTAAATGTCATGTTGGAGTCAGAATCCAAGGCTGTCGCTATGTTAAGGCTGTTTTTATGGGTTCTGTTCGTTTTTTTCCTAAAAACTGTCGAATAGCAAAGTTTAGGATTGTTAAGGGTCAGATTATTGAGTCACGACTGTATATGTAATTAGAAGCCGCTATCAGCATATGGGATACTGTACTCAATTTATTTTAATAATAAATTGATTACTAACTGATAACACAACTGACTATTGGCTAAGAAACTTGTTAAAAATTCTGCATCCCTACTACTCACCACTTTAGATGGTGGAAAGCCTGATTCAGTTATTGAAATTCCAGCTATTGCAGCATGAGCAAGTACTTAATAGAAATAAAATAAAATAAATCTCTGCCTAAAACTAAGAGTTCATCTGGTGTCGTCTCGCTGAGCAGCCTGTAACTGCTGTAGTGGTGCTACCAAGAGGGCCATTACATGTTATTCAACTTTAAGAGGTTTGTTGTAGTCTTCAATCAACCAATAAATGTATTCCAATTGATAAAAAATAAAAAAATAAAACAAAAATGACACTTTCAACAAGTGGTGCTTTTATCCCATCAAGTGGTTACTGGTGTCAGTTTGGACCACAGCGAACGGCAGAGTGGTAGTATTCCTACACCACAAGGAGTCCGTGTTAATGGGCCTGGGTGGACGCAAAAAAGCACTCTTCATCACATCTTGGCCTCAGTGTAATAAAATGTAGTTTGGATTTGAAATACACGTCAGAGCTGGGATTGTTTCACACAAACTGACTCTTTTTTTTTTCCAAACTTTTGACTGATAAAAGCAAGTAAAGGCTCAGCGAGAGTACGGCACTGGAGAGGGAGTAAAATATGACAACTGGGAGAGATTGACAAAAACAAAGAGGGTAGAGGAGAAATAAGTGGCACAGTGAAAGCCAGCGAAGAGGACAAAGTGAAGACACTCAATGACAGAGAATGATGGCTTAAGTAAAAGAATGAAAAACTGTGACGAGCCGAGAGAGAGACTTTGATTGCGACAAACAAGCGCCAGCAACCTCGGTAAACATCAAGCTATGAAGCAGTTAGCGACACAAAGAGTGTGTCTCACATCCATAAATATGAATTCAAACATAATATAACAGAGCTGTCTATAAATTCACTGAGAGAGAGAGAAGGAGAAGGGGACGAGACTCTTCAGAGTCTGGGTGAAGCCGTCTGCCGGGTGAAGCGATCTTAAAATATGCATGGCAAAGTCGATACCAGACAGATACGAAGTGAAGCAAATCAGGCTCAAGTGTCGACAACAAGTGCCAATCAATCTTCTGCAGAACGGTTAAATGACGTGTGTGGTTGTGTAATGGTTTGTGTGCCTTGGAGAGAGGTAGTGAAGTGAGTGGAGTCGCACTGAGCACACAAACACAGACCTGTGTAGTTCAGCAGAATTTAAGGCCTGCCACCATTTTGCTAAATCCTCTTATACAAGTTTAATGTTTCATTACCTCTGAAGACTACAGTCATTGGAACAGGGTACAGCGAGACGACAA